GTAACCTCTTCCACATAACATAGTAGAAACTAACCTAATAATGCTTGCTAAACGTAGAATGCCAAGAAAAAAATTTCAAATTTTCGAGTGTTCTGTAATAACCTCATAATCACTATAAGGTAATAGGAATAACTGTGAAGAATTAATCGAATAATGGCAACAAAAGCAATTTACTGAAAACAAGAGAAACGAAAAACAATTTGTAGTCAACTTAGACTTGGTTTTCTAAAGCCCACTGAGAATTCCTACGCGATCTGTAACTGAAGGAGAAAACAATTCGACCACAACCATTCGCTTGACATATTAATTCTAATAATAAAAACACTATAATGGGCCACGACTCACCATTAAACATTCTACACCATCTACTGATATGCATATAACGTTCATCATAAGGCGTTATATAAGAAGCAGTCGAAAAAGCATTCCGAATGGAACCATTTTTAATACCGTGTGTCCTTGGGCCAAAACACATCAGTGTACCAAATTTCATTAATGTATCTCAAATATAGCGACATAAAGGTGTTCACACAAATACATGACGGACGGACAGACAAACTTGGATCGATTTAGAAATCGTTGGATATAATGAAAGGCAAGTCGCTTACAAGTCCTTTTGCACAATACACACAGCTATATATAGGTTTGCAGGTAAGTGGTGTCAGGTAAAACCCATGTTTGTCAAATTAGCAGATATTCGACACTCGCTAGAAAAATTTTCTTAAGGAAATATTTTAGAATCAATTTAAAGCTCAAAACTAGAAGCTATGCAAGGTTTGAACCACAAGATGTATTCGAATCAACTCGAACCTGAAATTTAGATCATTTGTAGACAACTGGCCTTAACTGTGGATGATTTCATTGACCTTTCAAACTCATTAGCATTGCGGCATAATTTTGAGGGAGGGACAGATGACAAGTACAAGACAGAAGGTAGATGTCTCAGACGATCAAGAGTATATTTACTTTACAGTACATTTATGCGTTACATACAATTAGCAAAATTATTATACTCACTTGTAAATACAGAGACAGACATACCTTATAAAATCGGATGGTTTTCATAAATTAACACTTGACGCTCATTTTATTTCTAACTTCGTTAGACATTTGCAATGTCTCAGTTGTCCTTTCCGCTTCCGTTAGTTAGAACTTTTGATATCAATTTGCATTGAAATAAGAAAAAAATACATATACACACAGAGAGAGCGAGAGAGAGACAGAGAGGTAGTGCACTCATTCGTTGATTGTGGTTTCTCTAATCTGAGAAATATATTCCACTTCAATAATTCTAAACATAATCATAAACAAAAGAGAAAATTTTATCCGTCTTGATGAGAATCTCTTTAATACGTGTTAATTCAATTATTATCGTTTAAACGTGCAAAATATGCATATGCACTTTAGAACGAACGTTAGATACTCGCGACTTTAACAAGCGCAGTATTAGTTTTTTAATATGGATTATAAGGGTGTGAATTGGCCGATAGGTAATATTTCCGTCTCCTTTCCTCTCTCTATTCATAGCAAATATCTTGACGAAATACTAAATTCACAGCCAACAACAATCAACAACATGTACATTAAGTTTCGGCCTTTTTATCTTAATTATCGTGACAGTTCAATGTCAGTCTATAGCCTATAAGGGATGGTTGAATTGAATCAAAATCTTACACAAGAAAAAATGCTCTGCATGAAGTCTCTAATAAATATCTTTGACTATTTATCGTAACATCACCTCAGTGTTGGTGTAAAAGCTTTCTAAGCGAAGCACACTTTTTTTTACTCTTTGTCTTGGAAATAAATGCATTACATTGTATAGACAAGAATAACCTCAAACCTGCTTCGATATGCAGCATACAACTGTGGAATCCTGCCAGCGACTCTGATAATGGAAAACTTCAGAAATATCAAAGTAAAATCCCCCGTCTTATTGCTAATGCCCCTTAGTTCGTTAGCAACAAAACTATTCATGATAACTTGGATTTTCCATTTATCAAGAATCGAATTCAACGCATTTCCTCAAATCACATAAATCCTCTGCATGAATCCAATAAAATAAGAAAATTGATAAGACGTCACAACCGGATCTTCCATCCAGAAATTAATATGATTTTTTTTTGTAAATTGTGTTAAAGAATTTTCCAAGTCCATTTAGTTTCTTTTGCCCGATGCTCTACACTAATTGTGCAGAAGCACTCAAAATAGGCCTACCCTTTTCAATTCAAAATTATTGTTCGCATCGCTCTAAATTTATCTGTTTGTTTTATTCTCTATAGGGTTCTTACTTGTTATTTATTTAAACGTCATATCTACATTGTTATATTGTCCCCATTAGTCACAATAACCTTCTTTTCTTCCTCATGTGGGCATAATATTTACTGATTATTTCCTTAGATAGATCAAAAATATATATATAATAAAAGAAGATAGTTATGTAAAAATCGACCATATCTCAAGTAAGGCTGGGGGCTTAGTTAAGTAGTTAAGAAGCACAATTAACAAGTGGGTATACCCATATGCGATGGATAATACTTTAATTAAGTTGAGTGTGCAATCGCAGCTTTAATGCGTGCCCCGTAATACTCACATAGTTACTTCTTTACGGCTATGTTAAAGCTTCATTCGTGATCACCAGCAGTAACTCTTATGGCTATGAATGGACATTAGCAGATATAATCTCAGAAGCTTATGCTGGCCAATATGCTGTGTTACATTACTGGATGTTATCAATTCGGGGACATATCTAGTATACCCCTTTCTTCCGGCAGTAAGCATAAGAATGGAAAAAATTGTGCTTTTCATTAGAAGGCGATCTTGATTGGAGATAAGTGATAATCTCAGGTGCTAATGCTAATCGAGGATGTATTACATTTCTGTTTGTTACAAATATAAGGACATATCTGGTATATACCTTTCTTCCGGCAGTTAGCATAAGGATGGAATTTGAAATTGTTCTCTTCATTGTGGTTGGAGATAAGTTCAGTTTCATTTATACGCTTATTCTCTAAAGGCACCAAATTTATATGCTTATTATTCTTTACAGGCACCAAATTTATACAAATACATGCAAAATTATTGAAAAATGTAAACAGACATATACGCTTATTCTCACATGTTTGGAATTTTTATAAATTACTGAGAATTTATATGCTTATTATTCTTTGGCAGAAACCGTTATGTTTTTTCATTGCATTAGTATAATTGAAAAAAAAGGGTTGCCATCCCAAATACTTCTATTGACAGTGGTACGGAGATGAAACAAAAGATAGTTGGTTATGAGAACGGTTCTGTAATCTATATCAATGAACTTCTAGCATCACTTTACTTGAAATGTTTGTTCAAGAAGATGGAGAGGAATGGTAAAATCAAGATCTTTGTCAAGAATTTGCCCAAAGCACGTCTTACAACTAATAATGGTGCTGTTGATTCGTATGACATTTACGCGTTCTTAAACTGGCACAGTGAGCTTTAATCCTTCTCCAACATCTAGTTTATCGCTCTTATTATATGTCATCCTTTTCTCGTAAATCTATTGCAATTGTTTTTCTTGTGTAATGAATTTAACATCGTAGGAATAACATTTAAGTGAAATTTGGAACACATTCGGAATTATAACCTCCATAAATTCAATTAAGTTAATCTGATTTGGTGATTTTCTTTCAATAATCTATCCAATCCACTGCTTACATAGTTGTACTGATTTTTTGTAATGACCATCTGGGTCTGGGCCCAATTGCCAGAAACAAATTTTCGGAGGAGCCACGAGTATGATATTAATCTTAATATTGCACCTTAGAACTACCACAGGATTAGTTTTTCTAAAAGAGCTATTGAGGCTATTATCCTTGATATTTTTGCCATAAGTGAAACTTCGCTAAAGGGCTTTGTTTCTGACGCCGTTGTAAATTTGCCAGGGTATAATTTATCTTGAAATGACCAACCACTGTCCAGAGCTAGAGTAGTTGCCTTATACATCTCCTCTAAACTGCACTGTAAGATAGTTTTTCGAGTCATGGAGAAGGGAATCTGTGAATCTCTTTTTGAACTTTAATAACTGGAGATTTTAATGGCGATTCATGTTTCCAGTGCAAAATTCTGAAACTACGAGCCATGGGCTCTGTTGTTGTTTACGAATCATTTCAATATTCGCAACAATCCGCTACGTTGCTATCCTGCGGGTACATATTCCTATTTAGCTCAGCTGGTATTAGTGTTTGTAATAACAAACGGTTTGTTTGATTTGTGATGCCCAATGTCTAACTAACTAATCTAACTACCTAGATGCGTATGTATGTATTGACTCGCACTATGTATATATATATATGTATATAAATGCATATGTATATATAAACGGCTGCTGTGTTTGTGTGTTAATTTGACACAAAAACCCTACTTTTCTTTTTTAGCAACTGTCCGCGTTTGACTAGGCAATATTGTACAGTCAACGAACGACGTATGCGGCAGACGACGTTGTATAACGTTGTATACGTGGTTTGTCCTGTCTATTGCCGCTGCACCGAAAGTTTAGTGAATTGTTTTCTTAATGTGTACATTTTTAATGACTTGTATTTAATTGTCATCCATTCTTACAACTAAAAATTAAATAAAAAAACTTTTCTCTCAGATACTTCCAGAATAAAAGGCAATTGACTAATAGGAATGAAAAAGCAATCAAAAAACACTATTAAATGAACCACAACTAAAAATTTAGGTTCAGATCATCGACTACCCCTTTCTTATTTATAATCGCAATTTCACTTTCAGTGAGGGATTTTTCTTATGTGGTTAAATGCTGCCCTTTGATTACAACAAGCCCTTTCCAAAAGCAATAGCGTAGATATTAAAAAAATTCGGTTCAGACCGAACGTAACTTTTTATTGGAAAAGAACCAATCTTAAACTAAACAAGTACATACTTCGTAAAGTCTAAAATAGAGAAATGATTTCTTTTACTACAGTATCGGGCTTTTAAATTAAAATGTACATGAAAAACAATTATTTAAATGCGAATGAAGTGGTTAGAAACAAAAAGCAAAGTGCTTTTAAAATATAAAACGTATATTTAAATATAAGCAATACCATCAAATGTTGCACTACTGCTCAAATTCTTCGCTTTGTATGTCAATAATAGCTCTCAATATGCCTAATTCCAATTTAGCAGCAGACCGTGGACGCAAACGATTCATAACGTTGGCTACATAAAGACCCAACGCTTCATGGCGAGACGAATTACAAAGGTTCTTAAAGAAAGTGGGTGGCAATGAATTTTCAAAATTACCTAAATTTATTATTTCTGAATTGTTAGTCACTTTGCCGTTAGTATTCGCAGTGTCGAAAATGATATCACTACGAAAGTCAATTTCTTCCAAACGTGGCGAGAAGCCGTTAATAGATGCAGAAGCAACGGGTGGTGCACCAGACGAGGATGACCCACCAGTTGTAGTTATTATTCCATTGACTAAATTGCTAGATGAGGGTGCCGCTGGTATAGTGATAACGTTAATACTTGATGCAGTAGTAATATTATCCTGATGCGCGCTTGTATTAATGGATTCCGGTCTCTCTTGTTTAATTTGAATTAACTGATTTGGGTTATTTATAAGAGAAGATTGGGAAACACCCTTTGTTCCTAATGAACCATGATCAGACGTTTGTGAAGTTTGCTGTTGATGTAATTGAATTAATTTCTTATTCAGGGGTGTAGAGGGCTGATCTTCTGACAATTTACGTTTTAACGATTCGGGTAACTGGATTGTTTTGCCTACCTCCAACAAACGACTTCCTAAGTAATAAAAATATTGCTACAAGCATTTAATTATTGCAATGACCATTATTACCTGGCACAGATTTAGTGGATACATGAGTAAAAGACCTGTTGTTAATAGTTTGACCTTGGTTACCTGTCGTAAATTGAGTCTTTTTCATAGTTACGCCTTTTTTTTGTAAAGCAGCTGCAGTAGACGCTGAAACTTTTGAAGTGTTCGTTAAATTTGTTCGAGGTACATTAGAAGCCATGGAATTTAAAAGCTTGGTAGAGTGGATCTGATCAGATTGAGTAGAAGCAATTGCATTACGATTTACGCTTTTCATTAAAGTTTTATCTTCTTTATCTGGCGATGTTACAAAGCTGCTTGATTTCAAAGGATTCTCCATTTCAGAACCCGATTCATTTGAAGTCACTGGTGGAGCAGAAGACTCCTCCTCTTCTTGTACCTCCAACATCTCATATTCCTCGTCTTCCTCTAAAGGAATGTTATCTCTGTGGAAAAACTTTTTGTGAGTGGATATTACGTTGACTAGAAGAGATTAAACTTACTCTTCCTTCATTTCCGTTTTAATCTCAATTTTCTGATGAATTTTATCCATTATTGCATACAGTTTCCATGCAGAGTTCTCCTTTCCCTTTTCTTGTTCATATTTCTTTTGCAACACTTTAAATATGGAACGCGACTCATGTACTGTAATAACCCAATTAGTACATTAAATTCATTTCACATTTCGAACCGCCAATTTTTTTTCTTACCAGACAAACTGTTGTTCTTACCCACTCTTAACCAAGCATCATCTACCTCTTTTTTCGTCGCGCCAGGATAGTTAGGATGCAACACTTTTTCACGGGCTATATCATTCAATATTTTATCCAGTTGTATAGGCATTTTTTGCAGATTTCACAAGTATTTTTGACGTCAGAACGCTCACACGCAACGCTCTTTTAAATCTTTCACTATAAAAATTACTTCAACTAAGAAAGGAATTTAAGTATTGTTTGTCGTACGCTTCGTTTTTGCGAATTCTTCTTTGCTATGGCGGCTGTGAGTGTTGCCATAACTCGTAACTGTGTAGAGGTTCTGTAGCGTTATTGCCACAATGTAGGATTAAAGATTGGCATTCATCAAAATGACCCTTGGGGACTACTGAAAATAAGCCTTGGCTACGTGTTCGTGGTAAATAGTTAGCATTGAAACAAACAAGAGCTTTCTTTGATTAGTGAAAGGAATAATTATGTGAAGTGAGTTCAAATGCTAATGGATAATAATTGACTTTACTAATTAGGCGAAACAAAGAGAATGTTTGAACGTAAAAATATGAAAGACATTATTCAAGCGAACTATGAAGAGACAACAACGATCGGTCCGCAAGGTCCTGACTTACTATATAAACTTGTAAGTGGCTTGATATATAAAATTTATTAGAAACGTTTCAACTGATCGTTCACTTCAGCACTGAATGCAAGAGTTTTTCCACATTGCTGTGAGTATTGCTGTGTCAGGAATCCACGTTAATGCTCACTTATGGATTATGATTTCTCCAATAATTAGCTCGCATAGTCGCCCTTCTTCATACATTATCGATCTCCAAGCTGTGGAAAATCATTTAGGAAGCAAGCAGGACTCCATAGAAAAATTTAGCACTTTTTAACATATATGAATGGAAGTAAATAATTGACGGTTTTTACCACGCCCGGGATCTTCCTTACTGTATCGGTGCAATAGATGGCTATTTCGTTTTACAAATCTGGATTATCTTTTTATAATTACAGAAGTAAGCACGTTGTATTAAAAAGAAGTAAATACTTTATAAAATATATGACATATATACAGTTTTAGCAGAATGGCGTATGTAATTTAAGGAATTCATTATTCGCGCAACGTATATTGAGCAGCAAACGTGATATTCCTTAACCAAGCTCTCTTCCAACAGGCTAAATTTTGTAATTTACTTTTCCACTAATTTTCATATTTATTGACTGCCTACATTTTGGGACTCTTACTTTAATTGATTCTTGTATGATTTGAAAATTACCCTCCAACATAATACATTATAATTAGGGAATTTAAAAAATAATTTTTAAAATTGTCATTATTGATTGTTTTTCATGTCTTACAAAATAATATATAGTATAAATCTAAATTTAAAATCAAAAAATTTTAAAAATATGATGTAAACATTGTTTGAAGTGAATCGTCTGTATTTCTTCCTCGTGTTTCTTATTTTGTTTGTTTATAAGCATATGATGTGCTAATCACCACATTGACCAGTTAAAAAATGATCTACTTGAAATCCCACCGTTAGAAACTATATCAAGCATCAATGTACTTAATGCTACAATGCAAAAAGTCCTATCTATTATACCGTTGAAAAAGTAAAAAGAAGTAAGCCGGCATAAATATAAAAAATAATTTTATTTGCGAAGGAGAAATACGGAAATCGATAACCATACAAACAAACGCAACAAATATTGTGTTTCGAGTTTTTGTCAGTTGGCGCCATGAAAAAATTTCTGGAAATTCCCTAGCAGTAAACATTCGTCGCTTCTCAGAAATTCTTTGGGGGTAAGACAAACTTTCAGCGTGGAACGTTTCACTAGTTCAAGAAAAATAATCAGCGGGGTGTGTGGGCGCGCAATTGAGCAAAATTTCAGGGAATTTCACAAAACCTTTTGCATAACTTCATTTCTTCAGTGTTTCTTGTTGGTCAATTGCAAAAGAAATGGAGGTGACGTTGTCTCTTATCACGCACTACTTGTACCTGTAACCAAAAAACCGCCGAAGGGCGCCAAGAAAAGGCAAATTTGAAATGTTTTGTTTTGGTTCAACTGTTTGTAAAAAAAAAACGAAAAAGTTTTCTTTGAGGTACTTTTGTTTTTCGTTTGCAGACCATTCCATTTTATCCGGAAACTATTTGATTTTTTATTTTGATTTTCTGGATAAGTTATACAAAACACTTTTATATAGAGGCACTTGAGTTCTATATGGTATTCAATTTGTACTAGAAATTTCTTTAAGAACTTTAGTTTTCAAAAACATTTTTCACTTTCTTAACATTTGCCTAAATGAGAAAAAATCGTATAGTCGCTTCTCTAGCATCTTATGGATTTGTTGCAGCAAAGCGACATGAGCTGCATATTTTTGTTATTGTGTGTGTGGAAATTTTTTTGAAATTTATTTTATTTTCTATTTGCAGCTATATTTTCCTATAAATACAGCTCCAAAGAACAAATACTAACGCAATGCGCAAGCTACTTTACCTACGTCTAATCTAACAGTTTTGAGAGAACATTTCTCGCATCTTTGCGCATATATATAGCAAAAAAAGTCGAAACTCGAAAATGAAACCTAGTTGACACCACACGTAGTCGGTGGTGAGATATAGTTATAAATCTCAGATATAGTTATATATCTGACCATATTTAATTAGTTTTGTTTCATTTGTTTATGGAATGTGGCTAAGCTAGTTGGGCAGGATAAAGCGAAACCCATGCTCTGCACGAGCATTTTACAATATAGCGCCTAGAACAGAAAGCAAGTTGTGATATTATCAAGTTTTTCTAAACTTAATTTGCTTTATACATATTTTTTCTATAACTTATGTTGATCGCACATATAAGAATACCATCTAACACCAAAATAAAAACGGGGGAAATTTGTTTCAATATCTTCTATGATAATGTATACCCGCCTTAATGTACTTTTTGTTTTAAAAATTAGCATGCCTTTTCTTGCGCACAGCGTGAAAGAAACCAAAGGATTGCAGTTGCGATAATCACTTTTTATTCATATATGTTTAATAGCTTAAATCAGTTACTATAACAAACCAAAAAACAACTGGAGTGATTGTTGCATTAGTATTGGTGTTTTTAATAGTTAGCGCTGCAACTTTTCATAAGATTGGTAGGCATATAAGTTTCTTTTGTGGTTTTTCATTTGGTTTGACGAATTTGCTTTTTAATTTTTAATGGCTCAAGTTTTATTGGTATACGTATAACTTTTCCATATATTAGTGAAAGATTCCAAGTTCTAACGAGAGAAAGAGCGTGAATCCTTTTTTAAAATACAAGCGTACGTATAATGAGCTTAAGACTCTTGAGTAATCAGTCGTAAAGCTGCAAGAACATCCCAAACCTTATCGGGATGTGGCTTGTGATCTCTCCGCTCCATCATCAAACCTTGCGACTCGTCGTCAATTATAGTTCCACTGTCAATGGTGGTTCCATTCTCGGTAGATTTAATGGACTACGATCGCCGAATCCTAACAATCGCCCAAGTCCGATCAGACTAATCACGTTGATATCCATTCATGGCGGGATACAATTAGAGATGAACCCCTGAATTTCCGTCTGTTTCTGGTAAGCCGTCTATTGACGAGGGCAACCCATTCCTCTCTGGAGAGTCTATTGGTGGCGGGTTGTCGACCCCGGTACATGTTATATGTTATCTGTAGATGATCGGCACCTTCTGTTGCTATTCGTAAAGCACTTGTATGAATATATATGGAAAGAGAATATTCTTTTTATTTTTGAAAATAGGGTAAAATCGAATCCCACGCCTATAAAAATTGTATAAAACTATTCAAGAGACGTACAAGGGGAGATGAATTTATATTTTTGATACATTTATATATACAACATTATATATTATATTTCAAGCACTTCAAGTACAAAAAAAAAAAAAACTTAATCTTGTTGTAGTTGTTATGCTAAGGCGTTGCGTTTCAGACTAGAAAAGCGTGATTGACCATTTCTTACTTATTACATCTTATCATGGCTGAAAGATAGTTTTCATTTAATTACTCAATTGTCTTTAGTAGATGCGGCATATGAAAACTTACATTAATAACAGTTAAAATGGACATTTATACGTGCGAATACTTTCGCCCAGCAAACCAGGTCACTTTGCAATCTAATCATGCGCTTTTTAGTTTTGTGAATTTATGACAGATATCTTTGACTTGTCACGTCTTTCACGTCTTCCATTAAGTATATTCCTAAGACTTTAATAAACCCTCTTGATTTAATTTTTGAAAAAATTTTAAATATTAAAAAAAAACTTCTTTGGTGTTTACTTGACGATCTTATTTATCCGCGGTCAAAATTGAAATGACCGATTGTATGAAAGAGAGAAAGAAATGCACGTCTGCAAAATTTCTGCTAATTTACAGAAACCGTTATCAGCTTTCATTGAATATATGAAAACACATAGTTATTAAAAAAAAAATAGCAGAATTGAAAAGCATTGCCATCCTAAATACTTCTTTTGACAGTGGTAGGGAGATGAAACAAAATGTGGAAATGAAAAAATTTGTACTTATTTTAATTTTTTTTTTTTTAGGATTCTAATTTCTCAAGAGTACCGACATCTGTTCAGGAACTTATTGATAAAGATTATATACGCTGGCGAAATATCAATGAATTTATAGATAAATCAAAATCGTTCGTAGAGTTTTACCATGCCTATTACGACCTAGACCTTGAACACAAATTTATATGGGCAGACATTGGACGGACGGGCTGGCAGATGGACGGACAAAAGTACAAACGGACAGACGGAGAGGCGAAGAGAAAGGCTCTTTTGTAATTTTTCCGTCCATCACCATAGAATGATGCGTTTGCAAGAGGGAAACTTGAGAGTGTATACATTCCTGATCAGCATCTAATTATAAATCGATTTATGTACGTCCGGCTAGCTGTCTGCCCATCTATGTGATCTTTGTTTGTCTCTTGGCCACAAAAATGAAGCTGGCAGTAAACTGCTATTGCGCAGAAGCTGAAAGACTTTTCCTATTTATTTCTTCTCCTATAACTATAAACTGCAGAGGAAATGCTTTTTGTGCAGACGCCACCGCCACTACACAAGTCCATGAGTTGATTTACCTTCAATGCGATGCTACTTATGATGAACTTTTAGAAGTTGCGAATGTATGGAAACATGACGGTGAGATTCTGCAAAACAACCAGGACGGTTTAGAGAAAATTGTAGGTGAACACTCATTCCCATAGATATACGTTACAAACAATCACTAAACGCGTTTTATATTTAAGATCATCGATTATAATCGTTTAACTGCACACAATGTAACGATGCTAGATGGCAAGTAGTAGATATTGGAAAAACGAAAGCCCTTATAGAATGGATGGATGGTGCGAATAACAGACGGCCTATACGTTATTATAATATATTAGGCCGCACTAATTGGAATCGTACATGGGTAAATGTGTCAATTTCATGTGCTTGCCGTTACACAAGTAGACAGCAAGCCGAAATTTCAAATTTAACTCCGTGGTCATCCTATGAATTTAGTATTGCCGCAGTTAACGATTTGGGTATAGGCACGCCTTCTACCCCATTTCCTATATATAGCACACACGAAGACAGGTAGGATTTATTATCAAGAGTAAACCATTGCTTTACCAATTTCTTAATGGCAGGCCCTATATTGCTTCTAAAAATGTGGGTGGAGGGAGCGGTAAGATTGGCGATCTGACCATTACCTGGGATTTACTACCTCAAGAACAGCACAGCCATGGAATATACTACAAAGTGTTTTGGCGTCTGAAAGGCAAATTGGAATGGGCTTCAGAAATTATTAAGCGTCAAGACAATATAGGAATGGCTGTGGCAAACATACCGCTTAATAATTACTACACTGAATACGAGGTTAAAGTTCAAGCTTTAAACAAGGTGGGCAAAGGACCAGAAAGTGAAGTAGTAGTTCTATACTCAGCCGAAAACATGCCTCTAGTAGCTCCTCAAAAACCGAAACCTCCGCTTTCAACTCGACCGCTTTCAATGTTACTTGGGAGCCGATCGAGTTAACACGCGAAAATATAAGAGGAAACTTATAGGTCATCGCGTAAGTAATATTTATATCCAGAATTATAAATTGAACTAACGATACGGATATCATCTAGATAAACTATTGGAAAACTATGCAGGAAGAAGAAGATGAGGTGTATTACTTATCACGGACTACACGTAATTGGGGTTTAATTGTAGGTTTAAAACCTGATACCTATTATTTTGTCAAAGTGATGGCATATAACGCGGCTGGAGAGGGACCAGAAAGCGAACGAGCCGAAGGTAACGATAATTATAAAGCTAATTAATAGACATATGTCCGTAATGTAAAGGAAATCTTTAATTATAGAGCGCACGTACCGTAAAGCTCCACAAAAGCCTCCTTCGTCTGTTCATATTTACGGCATTAACCCTTCAACTGTGCGAGTTGTTTGGCGTTATGTTTCACTAGCTCAGGACGAAGAGCACATTGAAGGGTATAAAGTGCGGGTCTGGGAAAGTGATCAAAACGTGATCACGGCCAAAGACACAATTGTAGCAATAGGTAAAAAATTGGAAGCATATTTTACTACAATACTAAACAAGGTTACAATATGCGTGTTCTGGCCTATAGTAACGGTGGGGACGGCCCTACCATTCGTTTCCAAATGGGTATGTTCTACTTTTGATGAAAATTTATTTTTTGCTTAAGTTACGCTTATTCTTCCTCCGCTTTGCAGGCAAGACCACTTTGTAATTTTGGTAATTAGCTCATGTTTTTTCTTACTCGAAAGTTAACAAGTTGCAATCAAAAAAGTTCACCTTATCGGTTATCAAGTTCGTCCACTCCATTAATTTTTTAGGACTTGTAGTAAAACTAACCGTAAAATAAATTTTACAAAATAATATTAAATATATGTAAATAAAAAATCGTCACAAGTTTTGTATAAATTGTTTCTATTTACTTTTTTAAATTGAATTTTCTTCTCATTAACCACTACAAATACAACAACGATGAATATTCTCTCGCATTTTCCATACATATAATGAGAAAAGGCACCATGCCCACATTAAAGAAGAATATAATTTTCTTGCTTGTCTACATTTATTCTACTTTAAACAATTGCGTGTAAGTCCACGAAATCCAATAATTTCTCTAAAGCTCATTTTTAGAGGGGAAGAACGTTTAACGAAATTGGTAAATGAAAGCAAAAAGGAAAAGCAGCAGAAGAACGAGTGTGGCACATGCGTCAATAAAACAAATCGTAAAAAATTTCGGTTCATGTTTATCTATTTCTAGAAATATTTCTGGATATTGTAAATAGCCAACATCTTAAATTTAGTAAAGAGTTTCTTATGACCACATATTTAAACATTTTGAACCTTGTTCTTTGAATCCTCTTATATAAATGTCTGCTTCCCACCATTCATTTGTTTTATATAAGATATTTTTGCATGTATTAGAATTGCTATCGGCCTCAATAGCCGCGTTGTCTTCCAAGTGTAAATCCATGAAATGCTTATATACTTGTAAGTCTTTGCAGCAATCTTAACTCGTCAAACTTGTATTGCCTTTATGTAATAAATGAATCTGTACATCTTTACAGCTTGGAGGCAACGTACAAAACTCCTTAGGAATCATATCAACCTTTGCATTTGAGATCGTCTTTAAATCTATTATTTGTTTCGAAATTTCCAGTTCTAAATACATATTAGTAGGATTTAGGTTAGACGAAAAGATTGTATAAAGATCCGGATGAGTTAGCAACGAACTATAAAAACAAACAATAATAATGTTGGTTTGTTATACGAGCCTACCTACAGTAACGTTTAGTTTAAATTGCCGATAGCCATGGCATTTTGTTCATGGGAGTGGTTACTTGAAATTGCCTCTGTTGGTATGTGTATTGTGTACGCTTCTTTCGGTGTATATGTAGTAGAACCAAACAAAATCCTCAAACTTTTAATGCATTTACTTTTTTTTTACAAATTTTTAGGTGTTATTGCCGCAATCTGTGATGAGGTACGGGATACTCTTTTTCAAAAAGTAAGATCTATAGAATTTTTGTGGCCATAGTTAAATGGTTACTTCTTATGTATCGCTAGTTCTCTCGTAGCTCTAAACCTGAAAAACGTGACATATTTATTTTGTTGTTTTATACAAATTAAGCAATCGCTAGTTATGAGAAATCTGTATGTGTAATTAACCATCTTATCTGAGATCAAAACTTGTTATAAATATTTATTTTATCATGCCCTCAAGCGATACCCTGTCGGAAAGCAGGAATGCAACATAATTCATCCAAGTTTGCTTTATTCTAAAATTACAGAAATGCGTAAAACGTTGTCTAGAGTAAATAATTGTATAATTGCACGCGCTTGCACAAGTTTGTGTTTGTCATTTAGAAAGATTCCTTTCCTTTCAGTTTATAAATTAGTGCAGTTGGCGGATTTTCGCAGATTATTTAAATAGAGTCAAAGTCATATAGTTCCACTTTTCGTTTTCTATTGCAAATGTACTAAAAAGCGGAGCATATTATTGTTCAAATGTAACAAATAACTTTTACACTCAAATATACTTATTTTGTGGAGAAAGTACGTTTCATCTGACCACACCGCTATAGATCTAGACATTGGCAAGCAATACTTTTATTACATTGTACGAACTGTTAACTCGATTTATTGCTAATATTTCAGTAACCTTCATCGATCGATTATCGCTGGAAATGTTATTTTGTGACTCAACGAATGAGCGTTTAGAAATGTTTATCTCAATTCTGATATTTACGCTGATTGAGAATATGCGTACTTTACAGTATGCCTGCTGCGTATTTCAATTCGACAAATTTAGGGCATCATCCGCGAAAAAATTAAAGATATACTGCTTTGTTATAAACGTTTGCTCTACGAAGCTTTCAGTATGTACTTTCCTTCGATTCAAACTTCTGACTTCATGAAAAGGACGCTTTCTGAATTTGAAATCGCTTTTGACGCGAATTCAAAAAGATTTCCTATTTTATGACATTTAAGTCTTACGGTGCAAATACTCCTTCAAATTAATTGAATTATTATAATTAATTTGATTAAAATAAATCTAAGCGAATTAAACTATTTAAATATGTGTATATATGTTTATAATAATAAGTAAAACAATAATATTAATATTATAAATTATGTTAATTAAGAGCGGCTTAAATAACTATTAGTCTATAAATTAATAAAATTTTAGATAGTTTTTATAAATCGTTTATCATACCGTGATTAGCTTTTTTATAAAACACATAAAACCGGCGAATTTTTTATCATTTTTAAATAATCAGAGTTTATACTTACAATGCGCACTCCGTAATAGGTAAAAAAATGTCAATAAATTAAAAATAAATAAATCAAAACAGCAATTAACTAAAAAAAATATTTCGTATGAATGCTATTCGTGATAAAATTAGCTTGATTTAATTTACATGAAACATAAGGATAACTTTAAGAGTACCTATTGCCGAGTGTATAATATAATAATGTAACCAAATCAAAATAATACAATTGTAGGAATTAAATGAAGTGTTAAGAAATTATATAAAGCTAAAAGAGAACAAAAGTGAAACTCAATGTCTTAACGAAGTTATTTAATATGTTTGTATTTTTTTTTCAATTTTCAAATATATATATATATAAAAACTATAATTAAAAACGTTTAAAAAAAAACTTTAAATATCTGTTATTAAAGCAAGGCGATGGCGTTGCATTAGTTATTTCTTTACTTCGTCGTAACAGACTGATTTATCATAATTTTCTGTAGGCAAATTTAAAAAAAAGCCATTAACAGATATTTTAATATGTATATTATTCATAACCAAGGTTGGATTTCAGGATGATTTATCAACGTATATGTATGCTTCCGGTATATACAAAGGTCAATGTATAATAATGAACCGACTACCCAAAGTGTGTTTGGACGCCTATCCGTCTGTCCCAGCTCATATGTAACTGGTACTCTTTCGGCCAATTCAAGGACGTTCATTGCCTTATAAGTATCATTGATAATAAGTCATTTTGTGCCGGTTCAATTATGTGTGATCCATCTACACTCATCCGTTATTGGAAAGGAATCGTGGGCTCTTTTTAATCAAATATTTGTCATAAAGACACTCTCCTGAATAACTTAATTTAAGCGAGCAGACAATCCATCACAAGTCCGGCGTCAGAAGATCTATAATTCATTGCAGCTTGCATAATTATGGGTGAAATAAAAATTTTTGTAACTTGTTCGTACATTTCCTGGAATTCGGAGACATATGGTTGTCGTGCATTCGTGAAGGCGTTGAAGCATCACTGAAGTTGTTATAGTGCTGGTTGTTTTCAATTTACCTCAGGTATCGTGGAGTTTAAACGTAATGTATGGAACTGATGTCATCATCTGGAAGATGAATCAGATTCACCAATGGACTATCTGGCTCTTTGGCCTGCACTAATATAACTGTATTCCTAATTGCAATACCAGAGTGCTGGACTTAATATTTTCCAACGTATTTGAAGTACGTGTTAACTGCAGTGAGCCCTGTGTTATACAGGAGGACCCTTTTCATCCGACCCTCAACTTCTCCGTTAACGGTATTGCGTTTACCTCTTAGATAACACCAAATTTTAATGCATCTCAACAGGATTATGCCTCGTTTCCTTCGTCCATTACTTCTAATGGTATTTATACTTCTGACGGTCCTGACATTGCGAATTTCTTTGCGAAATTCTTCCAGTTCAACCCCTTACTTGATTGTTATGACCCTACAGCTATCTACCCTCATCAAATTACAGACTTTATTGTGATCTCGCATATTACTATCTTGGAAGATGATAGTTTTCAGAGGCTAAATCAACACAGTACAGTAATTCATCTATTCCTGATGGTATACCTTCATCTATTCTTAACTTTGTGCTGATTTATATGTGGTATTCTGTTATGTTTTAAATATGATTGGTGTGATTAGAAGGATCGCCACGCTGTAAATAGAAGGAAAACAACAGCGCCACGTTATGAACAATACAGAATTGATTTTTCAGTGTTATAAAATGGAAGTCAGGATCATTAAGTTATGAAAAGTAGAAAATCATACAACAATTTCGATCGCCTGAATTTTATTGTTAATACTTAAAAAAAACCATCGTGCATAGCGCAAGCTAAGCATTACGTAAAAAAAAGAAAAAATAAAGGTAGTCAGTGTCGGGATATATGGAAAAACTTATAAAGATTAGTGAAATTGTTGTTTTTTTTTTTTTTACAAAAATTCTGAAAAAAATGGTTAACAAAATTCTTTTATTGGATAAGGGTATTTGCATGATTCAGGCGATTGATATTAATGCGAATAACGGCCTGAGTTGAGCATAGTGCTTCTCAAGAACAACAAACTTGCTCTATTTTTTTAAGCAGAAAACGTGTTTGTCAGTCTAAACAAAATTTTTGTAAAAATAAGAATATAATAGGCGAATTTTTCATGTGTATAGCGACGAAAAATTGAAATATCAAAATAAATATGTAAAAATGTGTGATTAATTATTATGTATACAATTAGATACATACGTAAATATAGATGAATATGTTTATAGATGGATGGAAGTAGAGAAATGTAATTAAAAGAAAAGTGCAAATAACCTATAAGCAGCAACAAGCGCTTCATTAATACCTTGCGATACCATTTTAACCATCGAGATAGAAAACGACTTTTGAAAGTGGCATAGCAAAATTAGAGTGAATGAAGAGTGAATCATTCGAGTTGTTGGCATAGCCGCCATTTCCAATGATCTCTTAAGTGTACGAAAAAGGAGGAACCCCTTATTATAGAAAAGTGTAATTTATTTATTTATTTTATTCCACTTATACAAGAAACTCAACTAAACAAATAACAGTCGAGTTCAATAGGCTCTTAATGCAAAACTAATATTAATTAACAATAAAGTTGAGTAAAAGCATAATAAAACAAATAAGAAGAAAAAAAAAGAAAAGCAAAAAGAAAAAAAAGCATGTACACTATCAGCATAGGAGCACACTTACAACCGGTACAGGACCAAATTGCAAATGAACCCCTAAGCCATCGCAAACATGCATAAGCCTGGCAACCGATAATAAATTGACAATAATTCACTTTCGAAACGTAACGACTTTTTAAGGATAAAACCTAGTTTAAATACGACATAGGTAAATCGCGCGTATTAAGCAATGTTGCTTTAATGGACTTTAAAGAGTCCGATAACGAGAATAAGTGGTAGACGTCGTTTAGGTTCTTGCAAACGACTCTGAGCGGATTGAACAGCTCATAATTAAATTTGCACTGATTAAGCTTAACCAAGATAAAATGCCTAGTGAAGCGGTTAGGGACATTAAAGCTTATTTCACTAAGTAATGAAGGCGAGTCAATAGCATCATTTATTACTTTAATTAGAAAGGAAACGCCAAGAACAAATCTACGTTTCTCAAGAGACGGTAGGGACAATAGAAGCAACCTATATTCATGCGGAGGAAGAGAGACAATCGGATCCCAACCCAAATTTCTAAGGGCAAACAGCAAGAATTGCTTTTGAACAGATTCAATTGAATCTACGTAGCACCTACACGAAGGAGACCACACAACTGAGACATACTCGAGTATGGGTCTAACCAAACACATGTACAGCCTTTTCGTAATGTAGGGATCATCAAGCTCTTTGGACCACCTTTTTATAAAACCAAGCGCGGACCTAGCTTTGCTAATCGGAAGCTCAATATGCAAGTTAAAACGTAACCTATGGTCAAATAGGACGCCTAAATCTGTAATCGAATCGACGTCCTCCAACTTATGCGCATCAATAAAATACTGAGTAATGAATGACTTTCTTCTTGAGAATGAAAGCTTCTTACATTTACTCAGATTTAGTTTCAGGAGATTCAAAGAGCACCATGCAACAAAATTATCCAAATCACCTTGAAGCTGATGTGATTGCGATTCAACAGAGAAGGAAGAAAACAGTTTCACATCATCAGCATACATTAAGATCTGGCTGGAATTAACCACCGATGGGAGATCGTTAATGTATAAACTAAATAAAATGGGACCTAAGTGAATTCCTTGAAGTACGCCAGACGTAACGGGGAATTCATCCGAGGTGATGGAGTTAAACAAAACCCTGAAGGATCTATTGTGCAGATAAGAGCTTATCCATTTCACTAAGTAGGGTGGGAAACCAGAGGCTTGGAGTTTAAAGATAAGTAGTCTATGGTTAACCATATCAAATGCTTTGCTTAAATCAGTGTAAATAACATCTGTGCGAGAGCCACTAGAAAAAGCCTTGAAAACATGACAGGTAAACTCTAACAAGTTGGTGACTGTAGATCGCCCTTTCCGAAAGCCGTGCTGGTGCGGAGAAATATACGAATTAATGGCAAAGGCCAAATGCTGAGTCACAATACGCTCGAACAACTTGGGCAAGACACTCAACTTGGCTATGCCTCTGTAGTTCTCAACAAATTGTCTACTTCCACTCTTGTGGACAGAAATAAGGAAACTACTCTTCCAACATGAAGGGAAAACACCTGAATACAAGGACATGTTAAAAATCTTTGAGATCACACCACACAACTCGACAGCGCAAGATTTAAGTGCACATGATGGAATTCCATCAGGTCCAGGCGAACAACTGTATTTTAGAGAACTCAACCCTTTGAAAACATCATCTTCCGAAATAACCAAGTTAGGTATTGAAACCGAGTTAGTTATAGGATATGGGTAGTTTGCTGATAAATCGAAATTAGCAATCGAAAAGTTACGTCGGAAATACTCAACAAATAGATTTGAGATTTCAAAATCATCCGAGGGACCAGAGCCATTAAAAGAAACATGAGAGGGATATGTGGAAATTTTTCTTTTAGAGTTAACAAATTTAAAGAAGAATTTAGGATTAGCAAACAGAGAGGATTTAACAGATGCAGCATTAGCTAGATTTAATGTATTGTAGAACGATGGCAATAAGCTTTCAATACTACCGGTTGAGAAATTAAGCGTCAGATGTGAAAGACGATGTTTTAGTAATACAATATTGATTTTATGAAAATCATAATAATTATTTAAAAAAGTTTGATTTGGCACATTAAGGCATTTCAACAAACCATCATTAATATGATGAAAGGAAATGCATATTGATGGATGATAAGGATCCTCAGGTAAACTAAAAGGTGGACAACGATTTACGTAAATCTCGGGAAAATTGGCAAAACAGAGATCAAGCAGTCTACCATTACAATTAGGGGTACGATTATATTGACCCAAATTATGATCAAACAATTCACTAAATAACACAACAGCCGTTGAAGTAGGAACCAAATAGCCAGAATTATCAGTGTTACACCAAGTGACTTGAGGCAAATGGAAGTCACCCAATGCAACGACCAAATCGGTGGGTCTAGACCGCTTGGCCACTTCACAAATGAGGGCAGCGTGTTTCCTGTAAATGGAGATATCAGAATTTGGGGGAATATAGGAGCAGGTTATAAATAGATGTTTATCAGGCATATTCGCACGAATAGCGATAAATTCAACGTCAGGA